AGCAAGAGACAATGTAAGTGTGTGTCAGTTAAGGATGACACAAACCTTTGCCTTCAAGCTAAAAGGGCTATTAAGTTAAACACAGTGCTTTCAAAAAAGGTATTTATTGTTGGCTTCCAGAAGATTACTATGTCATTATATTCAGCTAATGAATTTTGTTATTGTAGCGATGACTTGGGAGTGTGGAAAGTGTAGAATTCTTTTGTGCAGGTTTTCAACTTTAGAAGGCAACATAGTCAAACTCTTGAGTTTCCTCACTACACCTTGATATCTCCAGGTTTACACCTCTACTTGGTAGATCTGAGAGTCAGAAAAGGTTTGTTCAAAGGCTGTAACCGGAAGGAGGAAATGTTTTTGTTCTTCTGTGAACGTCAGCTTGCTTAAGCTATGCTTTTCTCTCTATGACTACCGTCACCGTTATGCTTAATAATAACTTGAGAGATAAACTCTTGAAAAATCAAAGAAACGTTGGAAAAACAGCTGTGCCCTAATAGTAGACTGATGGATTTCTGATTCTCTTTAACATAGTGAACTAGGACAATCTGGCTCCATTTCAGCTAAAAATGTATTTCTTCTAGTACTAAGGTGGCATTTATCTAATGATGGTAATGAAGGCAAATGTTACACGTTAATATTTTTGTAAAACTAGAAAGAGCTTAAAAAACTCAGATAAACTTTTCACTTCATTTCAAAGAAAGAAAATTGTTCTGGAAGCTTCCATTCAGCTTTAAGATTATTCAAATCTGTTGTCTCTGAGTTCCCATCATAGTGACTTGTGTAGGAGTAACTCTCCTTTTAACAGAACAAAGGCAGAGGGGAATTGTCATGTTATTAAAAACCATTGTCCTAGCTGGTCTGATTTTTGGCTATAGTCAACTACTTTATTTCTACATCAAGCTTATATTACAATCACATGACTTTACTGAGTTGGAAGTCTCTATGACAAAATTTTCACAGAGATGTGGTAGTAGGAGTTGGGCATTCACCAATGAAAAAACCGGTTTGTGCCTTCCAAAATAAATTTTTATTTAGAATCTTGGGATAAAGGAAAGTTGGGTAGCTGTGGGCTATTAGATTTCCTTTTGGTATAATCACTTTCTGTAACGCATCAAAATGTTCATGTGATGTAAAGTTTGAATGTTGTAAAACAACATTCAAGGACCTAGATCTTTTTTTAATTATTATATTAGGAATCACAATTGTTTTAAGATAGTCACAGCAAGTATAACTCTTGTGAATGTTGAATCTCTGTATTAACATTGACAGAGAATCCAGTTATGAAGGAAGGTTGAGTTTTCAAGTTGGTTCTTAGCGCGCTGGATACAGTATTTAACTATAACCTCCCAAACATATAAATCTATTTATATTTTTATGGATTTGTGTGATATAATTTCAGCTTAGCACACAGAAACCTTTTCAAGTATTTTTCATCTTAAATTTCCCATAACTAACACTTCTGTAAATCATTTTTGGTAATCATACGCAGGGGTCATATAATTCAAATATATTGTAACAGAGATTACAATTATAAACTAAGAGATTCAATGTGTTCATGATTCACTAGCCTTTAATTTTCTCATCTGTACATGCTTAAAGTGGAATAGATGGTTTTTAATTCACCCTATACACAAAGTCCCTAGCCTACATCTCTCTGTTATTATGAGCATGAAATTCAATGATTACTATGCTTTTGAACTCTCTCTCCCCAAAAGATTTATTTTTTCTGTGTCAGGGAATAAAATAAATGCATTTCTTTACCAGCCATCAGATCATAGTTTTGATACTAATCGGTTGATTATTGGATTTCTGAAAAATTCCTGCATAATTCAGAATTGGTTTGCACATAGTACTAGAAAATACTGATAGCCATATATTTCCGTCCTGTTACACCAAGTGAATCAGAAAACATTGGTATTAATATTGTACTTTTTCACACATAGACCTTGCAGTTTCCCTCAAGAGTACAGTCCTGCAATACCAACCCTTTGTAGTTTCATATTTGCTGTTACATTTTTGCAGATATTTCTCATTTTTACTTAAGCAAAGTCCAGGGCATTACTCGAGTTTCAAGGAGTTCTATTACCCACAGTTTCAGTCACCGGGAGATGCTTTCTTATCATCTCATGTTGGTCAAAATTTAAGTGAGATCAGAGAAGTAAACCCAGCACTCAAGAAACCTGAATTATCCTTCTGACTTCTCTACTTCCTAACTTGCTAGACCATTGACAAGTTATTGAACCACCAGCAGGCTTATTTTCTCACGTAAAAACAGGACAACTGTATATAAAACATGGTGCAGTGAGAAATAACGCATATCAGGGATCTTATATAAGGCAAAAAAAAAACATATATTGCTCAATATGTGAACGTTAATATGTGAGCATCACTTTTACTACCAAATATGGTCTTTCAATCTATTTTCCCTAATACACTTTCTAATTTAGAAGGAAATGTTTTTTTAAATGTTATTAGTATATTTTTTTACTCAGCCTAGAGGCTGATTTTTACGTACTTACTTCAGTCTACATTCCTTGCGTCTGTGTTACTCAACCTCGATGCAGTTGTATGGATAATTTAACGTGCAATATCTCCCATCCTTTGAATTAGTGATTTAGTATCTATAACATTTATGAATACATTTCTCAGGTTTGTTCTTTAAAAGATTCCCTGTGTGTGTGCACGTGTGTATTCGACAGTACTATTTATAAACACTGTAGCTCCACAAACCGCACACCGCAAATGTGAATGTCAAGAGGCTTCCCCCAGGAACACTTCTGCAGTGGGAAGAGTAACGCCCTTCTGCTTGTCTCTCTAAACATGCACTGATTTTTAACTCTTCACCATATTCCTTAGTGAATAAAGCTAATCCTGTTGCAATTATTGGAATCTCTAGATTATTTCAGTGTTGCAAGCTTCTATGACAAGTGTGTTCAAATTTTATCCTTGGAAAGTCCTCCCTGTCCACTAGGGCTCACACTTTATGTCACCTAGCTTTGAATGTGCAACTCCTACAAGGTATACTTGTGCTTGATAAATAGTCATATGTTGTCTTTTGATATTCTTTGACTTGCTATTGATCTCTTGCGTCTTTATTTCAGATTTCAAACGTCTATAAGCGCTCCTAATTACACTGTCACAGCTGTCTCCATGTCCCGAATTGATAGAAGACATTTACGTTTCAGGCTCATTTTGACTTTGAAGAAGAGCCAGAAGACGCGGGGCGCCAGGCCCAGTGAATAAGGAGAATGAAGACACACTACACTATAATGGTTTCAAGAGTCTGCCTTCCCATGAGATGGGACTGGGCAACAGCATTCACTATTTTTTTTTTTTTTTAATCATACTGCGTAAAAACACGCAAGGCTTTCAGAACTGCTTTGAAAAGTGACAAGACTGATGGGATAAGCTTGTTTGAAGAGAAGGGGAGCATTTGGGGAGTGTGATGGTGAACTGTCTTTTCCAGTATATATATTAAATGTCGATATTCACCACATATCATATATATACATATTTAAATGTCAATATTCACCATATATTTTGATCACGCCCCATATGTTTAACTGTTATGCAGTACTTAAAATTTAAAGTCCTCAATATCCAAACTATAACATAATTTTGTGTACATTTACTTGTAGGAACAGAACAGCTATTTTTTTTGACTAGTATGAACTAAAGCAAAGGCAGCATAGGCAGACAAATTCATTAGTGTTAGAGATAAAATATTTTCAAGAGTAAATTAAAATGGGATTTCGTAACTCCCTGGAGAATTGATATTTGAGTTTTTCATGGAGTCCAAGAAGGTCTCAGGTTCTACTTTCTTGTTAGTAGATTAAGAAAAACAAATAAACAACTGGCCTATCAATGACTTAGCAAAATGTGATTAAGCATTTCTAAAAAACTTTACCTCGTGACAAACACATTCGCGAGACATTTTAAGCCACTATTCAAGTACGAAAAACTCTCCTTAAAACATGTTTTCAGTCATAAACAGTTCGCACTTCTGTCAGCCTGAATTCAACTTCGCAGGCTGTTCCTCATCTCTCTCTACCTATATTTTTCTGCAGCTGCTGAAATCTCTAAGGGAATCTCTCCATGGAGACAGAGCCAGCCGGTTCAAGTCTCTTCTCTGTTCTTGAGTTCCTGTTTTCAAGTAATGATTCAGATAAACTAGAGATCAGTTTCCTTTCCTGTAACTCTGGCAGCTGAAATTAATTCTCCAAAGACTCCTCTTTGGAGGCAAGCAGATGGTACATATGCACGTGTTTTAGTTTTGATTGTACTAGTTCTGAATAATTTAAATTCCAAATCTCTATAAAACTACTGTATTCCCATTTCCCAATACAATTTTTTTTCCTCCTGCCTCAGAAATTCCTTCCTTATATTTTGACATTTGGCTGAAACTTGTTCGTTCATTTTGTACTGGCTTCATTGTCACACAGCTTCTGGTGTTCTTTGTTACAATTTTAGATAAGTATGGCTTTAGAAAACTAAGATGCTTTTAGAAACTGTTCTGCTGGTGATTTTCCCTTTACCATTTGCAAAGCATTTTGTATACATAAACAGCACATTAGCCAAATGATGTCATTATCATAGTTCCTGTTGGTTCGTACTTGGCTCTCGCTTGAGAATTACCCCAAATAGGTTTGCAGTTTTATAGTTGCATTATGAGGTACTCAATAATATGTACGGATTTAGGTATCTTTTTTTCCTGTCATTCTGTTTGAACACCAGCCAGTCCTGTCTCAGTCCAAGATTCACTGTTGCTTCAGGTAGTATATGATAAATAGGTCATGTTTACAAGTTCAGAGGATTTAACCTTCTCTAACCAAATTTGAAGTCTTTCTCTTAAAATTGTTAAGACTAGCCAACCACGGTAGTTTGTGAGCACGTATTTGTGTATGGATTCATATATATGCACAGACATCTACAGCTACTCAGCTCTATTGGAAAAGCTTTGCTTTTATAGGCAGGAAAGCAATGATTCAATTCTAGATGAGCTTCATTAAGTTTAATTGCCATTATCTTTTTCCTTTACTATGCCTAAGATGTCGATGATAACGATGAGCGTATGCAACAGTCTTCATCACTGTAAGAAAAAAATAAACATATAATCAATTTTAAATGAGGTGGTAATCTCATCTGTGAAGTTGAAAACAGTACTATGTGAAATATATAATTATTCTTTACTAAATGGTGTTTGTATTGTTTTGTTTTCATGTAACTGTTATAAAGATCATATCACCTTTCATTACCATATTTATGAATGAGGAAACTCAACCTCAGAGAGATTACAGGATGTTCCTGCATACAGCCACTCATGAAAGCAAAGGCATAAATAATAGATACTAAAATAAAAATCCCATCTTTTTAGCATAAAGTAGAATTGCATAAAAAGCACATTATTTCTAGACAAGGCAAATATAATTTGTGTTGTATAAAACATTTTTAATTGAAGAAATTCAACTGTATAGGTAATAAGGTGTGAAACTCACAATTCTTTTATTTTATGTATAAAAAGTTTGTAAAACAGAAACAACGACTGAAGACTTAAAGGAGCCTCAGAAATCTCATCTATTTGATAGCACACTTCTCTGGGGACCTTCAGAGTTGCCATGCAGAATCAACAAATAAATAACATTCAGTGGTGTTTTGTCTCTTTTGATTTCAACCATTCAAGTGATGTGGATTTTTGCCACATCTCTTGAGAAATAATTGCATATCCCAGAAATAATTGCATATTATGAGGAAGTTATTCACAAATCTTCTTCAAATTGCCTCTTCTCTAACTTCCTTCTTTTTGTCAGAGTTACACCTAATCTGAACACATCACTAAAAAATTTCTCATTCTTTGTGAGGGTTACACTGTTAAGTGTTTGGCTTACCAGTGTTTACCTTGTTTACTTTTCACTTTCCCAAGAGTTTGTGTTTACCTCCGGCACAGTCTTCCTCTTGCCTCCACCAAGTTTAGTCTCTTCAATAAATAGGCTCTCTAAACTTGTTTCCTAAATAGTCTGAAGTTAGACATTGAAAACGGTGGCTCTTCAATAGCCAGCAATATTCTAAACATACCATTTAATGCATTAATATTTACTGTTTTCAATTCAAATTTTTTAGAAACAGAAAACCAAAATGCAGATTCCAAACAAAGAAAATAAATGGCATAGGATTCTGAGGCAGATACAATGCAATAAAAATGGAATATTGAAAGCTGTAAAATATTTGAATATATTATCCTTGAAAGAATCTTTTATTTCATAATACGATCCTTAGAGTATTTCTGGGGGTTAGCTACATCAAAAGAAAATGAAAAGACTAATGAGTTGGTAACAGGACAAGGAAGTTATTATTATCACAGAAGTTAAAAGTTTTACTTAGCTTTTAAATGCTATGCTCGGAACCTAGAGAGTATTACAGGCTAATGATGATCATTGTTTGTTGTCATTCTTAAACTCCAACATCGTCCGTGTTTTATTTTTCATTTTTTTTCTGCGTTTAAGTTCCATTTTCACTTGATCTTAGCCAAAAATCCGAGAAAGGATAAGGATTCATTTTCTTATTTTAATGACGTCTACATTTTCAGTTCTAGTTTGATTATCTTAAAGTTGAAAGGCTCATATTGTAACTGATTATGACTAATATGTTTTATTTTTAGGATGTAGCTTAAGAAGGATCATATTTATATATGGTGACATAGTACACAGCTCAAGAGAACCTGTATTGGGAAAATTTGTATTCACATTTAAATTAGGCTAAAATTTAGTTTGTCCAAAAAATAAGTATTAGATGTCTATATTTAGGCAGGGTTTTAAATTCTAGACAACTCCATTTCTTGGTTGTATCTTGCAGGAAGGGGATAAAGAAATAGGCCCGGGTATGTAGCTCAGCAGTTCATTGGCCTGCCTCACAAGCGCAAGGACCCGAGTTCGATCCCCAGTACCAAAAACAAACAAACAAAAACTCAAAGAAATAACTTCCAGTTATATATTTAAAGTGAAATAATTTCAGCCCACCCAGGATATGCACAAACACAGGAAGAAGGAGACTAAGACTGTGGCTGGGCTATTGGCTGTGGGGGATCGGGAAGGACCCTTCGTGAGAGAGCATCTAGATGCTCAGTTGGAATAGGCTTTGGGCAAACGTCTGGAAATCACTAGAAATGGGAGGAGCAGTGCACGAAAGATCGTTAAGCTGATACTCTGTATCCTTGTTCAATATGGTCAATGACTGATAATTCAAACTTACAGATGCAGCAGAGAAGGCATTTTCATGGGAGCCATTTTGGAAAGTTCCTCAGGATCAACAGTTTGGAGAATCTGAAGGTCCATTCTTCGTTAGGCACATTTTCTGTTTGTACCACAATTACAGTAGCAAGGGAGAATGACTGTACACTTATTGTACATGAAAGAGCTGGTTAATAAAATTTTAAAGGGTTTTTAATGTTGAAGGGATATATAATTGATGAAAATATTATGAAACTACACAGTGTTTTAGTTCAAGTTTTCTCAATTTCAAACTCTTGATATTTGGGGCCAGATATTTCTGGGTAGTAGGGAGCTTGCACACTGTAAGAAGATTAGCAGCATCTTTGACCTGTACACACCAGATGCTAGAAGCAATCTACTGCCCACATCATGACAATTACAACTATCTGCAGAAATTATTAGGCACTGCCTATTCCCTTGGGGAGAAAAAGCAAAGTCATCTGAGCACCACTACATTTATTTATTTTTTTCTTCTCTATGCTCCCTCAGAGCAGAACGTATCTTTGACAAAAAAGACAGAAAACACCTCTGTCATATTTTTTGTCCAAGCAATTTTTTAATCACAGAGTGGAGATCACAAGCTAATTGTATAATGATGATGGATTCTGTCTGAACCTTGTACCAGGCTCTTCCTGAAAATTGACTTGTGTTGTGACATTTTCAATTCTTGCAAAATCTTCATCATAAAAACGAGGTACCAGATTTCAATGGCCCCTCTTTTACATTCCCCTACTGCAGTGGGTTGACCTTTTCAGTATTCTAAGCAAGATTTTGAAAGAGCTGACCATCCCCTTCCCTTCCTTTTAAAAAGTACAGTAAACCTGTTGCAGAGACCGAAGTGACTGGCCAACTGAGATGAAGAATTTTAAAAAGGTCAGAACGGTCCGGTGCACTATATATTTCACAGTGTTTATAGAGCATTTTGAATGTGTGCTTTAACTATTATTTTAAAAATAAAATCTAAAGCAAAGCCTGAAAAATAGGGCATGGCTTGATTAATACTCATCCCGAAGGCAGTCTTAACTTGTGTTTTTAGCCTTCACCTTGTGCTCAACTTTTAAAGCACGGGAATTTGTATAACCCCATGTCAAAATCATAACTTTTGGAACTGTTAGATCACTATTTAATCTTCTGGAGCACAGGAGTACTTATGTCTCTGGGACTCTGCTCAGCCATACAGAATGTGCAGACAAAAAGGTAAAACTCATTCAAATAAGAGACATTACACTTTCTGCCCCTTCAGCAATACTGCAGGAATTTTCATTTAGCAAAGTGTCAGCCTCAGCAATACCATTATCAGTGGACATCTGGTTTTCGTTCTCATGTACATAGGCAGCAAATTTAAGGTCCGGTTTAGCATATTCAGGGAAGTAAATGGGCTTGGGGGGCACTAAAGGAAGCAGATTAGTTTCCACACTCTTCGAATGAGAACTGAATTTCAAATGACAGAGATATCAAAAACCTTCACGCATTAGAACAGAGAACTTGTGTTAGCACAGGGATTTTTAAATGCAGTATTCGTGACATATGTAAATGATATGAATTCTTGGATACAACAATCATGTAAAATGGTATTTATTCTCTTTATATTTAGTGCCTGGAAGTAACAAGGGACCAAGCTGCTGCCGGAATACTCAACCGCACAAATTCTGAATTGAAACAAAGGGTAAGAGCCAGATATCAAAATGTCCTTTCTACTCATAGAATGTGAAATTAATTTACAGGAGTCTTGGGAACCCAGGGAGAAGAAGAGAGGCAATAAGAATGTAAACGAAAACAAATTACGTGACACAAATTTAGTTGTATGATGTATGGAAATGACTGAACTCTCAGATTTGACATTTTAAATTGTAATAATGAAGCGATGTTTGAGTTAAGAGTGGATATACTGCCTCTGTAAGACTGAAGTGTCAGAGCCATGAATAGGAAGGGCGCACATTTTCTGTGGGATTGGGTCCACAGTCCCACTTTGAAAAAAAGAGCTCAAATTTTTCATCACAAAATCGGGCTTCAACTTTAGGATGTGTTTACTGATCATCACTTTAGAAATATACATAGAGGGCTGGGGATTTAGCCCAGTGGTTCCAAGCAAAAGATCCCAAGTTTGATCCCCAGTACAAAAAAAAATACACACACACACACACACACGCACACACACACAGAGTGTGTGTGTGCGTGTGTGTGTGTGTGTGTATATCAGAACTTTTGGCAGATTATCTTTAAGAAAATAATGCTCTGGTAGCAGTGCCCCTTAAAAGAGAAGTGTTGATGAGATATTTTAATATTTTTAGTTTTGTGTTAAATATTGAAATTATTTAGGACCCAAATCTTTGAAGCGCAAAGACCTGCTGAGTTATAAAAAAAGATGATTTAAAAATATCTAGAATCAAATTCGGGTATTAAATTGAGAGAGAAATAGAAAGTTATATAATACATTATCTTTCCCTTATCAAAGGATACGATCTAAAAGAGTGATTGGGGGAGAAAATAGTTCTTATGAGTAAAGTTTTACACACTGTTCAAACAACATCCTGTCATTCAGATGTGGCCTTTTAATCTTTTATTCCAATTATAGGACAGAGAATCTGCTGAGCAAAGAGACACAAAAATGGAGTCCTTGATTTCGAGGAATGTATCATCTAGTTGGAGGAACAGGTTTACTATTCTACCAGTCAGAAAGTGCTATAGACATGATTACAATACAAATGTAATGGAGTGCAGAAGGAATTGTCAGGTATTGCTATAACTAATTTCAGATGTGAAAAAAAATTTGGTTTAACATAGTTACTACTCGTGATCAAAACTTGTGAGATATACATTATAATTCAAACATTCTGAGACCTAATCTAAAACTCTTACCATGACAAACACTGTCTTTAAAATTATCAAGCTTACTTTTTTAGAACAGATTAGAGTCACAGCAGAATTGAGCGGATGGTACAGAAAGTTCTCCCCACCTCACATGTGTAAAGCCAGCATCCACATCCAGCAGACGGAGGTGCATGGGTTATAACTGGACAGTTTATAGTGGTGTCTGGTCATCTACAGGGGGTGAAGTACGCAGGGCACCTTAGGTGCCCTCTTGGTGTTGGAGAGTCTATGGGTTTTCCTAAATGTAGAAAGGCTTCATACAGACTATATGTGACATCAAACAAAATAGTTCCACTGCCCCACAAACTGTTGTGTTTATTCAGTGTCCCTTTCTGTGGCTTCCTTAGCAAGAATTTATGTTCTCTTGTCTTCCTAGCTTTGTACTTTCCAGAAAATATCATGCATTTGGAATTATACTTCACTTAGCCTTTTCAGTGTCACTTCTTTTAGTTGAACTATAGATTGAAATCCCCCCTTTATCTTTTCAGGGCTTGCTAAGGCTTCGTCTAGGTGCACCACTGCTTATTTATTTCTGGATATATCGGGGTTCATTACAATGCATGTCTTTTCATAGCTTGCTAGCTCACTGTCTGGGTGTACCGAGGTACAGAAATATATCTTATTTGCTTTTATTTTATAATATTAGATATTAAACCCAGGGGACTGCACATGCTAGGCAATTGTTCTACCACTGAGCTACTTTTTTGGTAATTATGAATTTTTGGCAATTATGAGTAAAATTGTTCTTAAACATCTATTTCCAGCTTGAGTAAATGACAAAGGGCAAAAATGCTGAACTCTGTCATAAGAATATGTTTAGATCTTAGATCTTTTTTTTTTTTTTTTTTTTTTTTTTTTTTTTTTTTTG